TTTCCAATTCGCTATGAATTCCATCTTCAATGAGTATCTACGTAAGTTTGTTCCAGTCTTCTTTGATGATATCTTGGTATATTCGAAGTCGTGGACTAAACATATTGAGCATTTGAGAGTGGTGCTCGAGGTCTTGGAGGTTAACTCGTTTCACATCAAGCCGTCCAAGTGTTCATTCAGGCAGGAGATGATTGAGTACCTAGGCTACTTTATATCTTATGATGGCGTGAAGGTTGATCCACGGAAGATAGAGGCTATGGTTGACTGGCCTAAGCTGACGAGTCTCACACAACTCCAAGGATTCCTAGGGCTCACAGGTTACTACCGAAAGTTTGTGAAGGATTATGGGACCATCGCCAAGCCATTGATTGGGACGACGAAGAAAGGCGGGTTCCAATTGACCAAGGCTAGCGAGGAAGCATTTGAGAAGTTGAAAGGCGCCATGACCACGATGCCAGTGCTCGCAATGCCAAGGTTCGATGTTCTATTTGAGGTCCACACGGATGCGAGCGACGTAGGAATTGGAGCCGTGCTAGTACAAGAGGGACGACCCTTAGCCTTCCTTAGCAAAGCACTAAGCACGACTCGACTGGGGCTGTCTGTATACGTGAAATAGATGCTAGTGGTTGTCGAAGCTGTGAGGTGCTGGAGGCCTTACCTATTGGGGCGACGATTTCAAATGGTAACCGACCAGCAACCGCTCAAGCATCTGCTCGAGCAAAGGATTGTTACCTCCGAACAACAGAAGTTTGTCTCAAAGCTCATGGGATTCGACTTCGAGATAGTCTATCGGCCCGGTCGATAGAATGCCGTGGCCGACGCATTATCCCGATGGACGGACGTAGCCGAGCTCACGATTATCAGGGACCGACATGGGCCAATTCAGAGGAAGTTCGGAAGGCGCAAGAAGAGGATACTTATTGCCAGGGGCTACGCCGGGAAATCAAGGCAAGAGACACAACCCCTGCTGATTACGAGCTGCACAACGGCCTATTACTGCACCGAGGACGAGTATATGTTCCCGATAGTGGGCAACTACGAGAAAAAATCATGCAGCAGTTCCACGAATCTAAAGTCGGAGGGCACTCGGGAATTTACCACACATGGATGAGAATGGTCAATACCTTCTTTTGGCCTGGACAACAGGGAACGGTCCGCGAGTATGTTGCACGATGCGATGAGTGCCAACGCACCAAGGCCGACGCAAGATAACCGAGCGGGCTGCTGCAACCACTACCGGTACCCGAGGCAATTTGGGAAGACATCACTATGGATTTCATTAAAGGACTGCCAAGTTCTAACGGGTTCAACGGAGTAATGGTCGTGGTGGATCGACTTGCCAAGTATGCTCACTTCATACCCATCACCTATCCCTATACGGCGAAATCTATCGCCAGGCTATTCGTCGAGTATGTGATGAAGTTGCATGGAGCTCCACGATCTATAGGTTCCGACCGAGACCGGATCTTTATGAGCAGCTTTTTGTCTGAATTCTTCAAACTGCAAGGGACCAAGTTATTAATGAGCTCAGCATATCATCCTCAAATCGATGGGCAAACCGAGGTAACTAACCGAACCCTTGAGCAATATCTACGGTGCTATGTCCATCAATTTCTGAAGAAGTGATATAATTTTCTGCCCTGGGCTGAGTACTGGTACAATACTACTTACATGAGTCGACCAAGATGACTCCATTCGAGTTAGTATATGGGCGCAAACCGCCAACACTGATCAATTACTCGGAGGGAGGCACGGTCAACGATGAGGTCGGACGAGAACTTGAAGAGCAAGACCTGATGTTGAGAGAATTGAAGAAAAATCTCGAAGGCTCGATTAATTGAACCAAAGCTTTTGCAGATGGGAAACGGCGAGAAGAGAATTACGTACCGGGCGAGTATGTCTACTTAAAGCTACGACCGTTCAGACAGCGCACGATAGCACAGAGGGCAGCAGCTAAGCTGGGAGTGCGATATTATGGGCCTTATCAGATTCTGAAGCAAATCGGTCAAGTAGCGTATCGTCTAGAGCTACCCGAGAGTTCACAGATCCATCCAGTTATACATGTCTCGCAACTTAAAAGAAGTCTAGGGGAGGCGCACAAGTGGTGCGAAGAGTTACCCACGACTGCAACCGATGGAAGTGTCATAGTGCGCCCAAAACGTGCGATGGAATACCACAAAGTTAGGAAAGCTGGACGCTACCACTGGGAAGTACTAGTCGAATGGGAAGAGTTGCCACCGGAAAAGGCCACATGGGAGGATATAGATAAGATGAGTGATCAATTTCCGAG